AGTAGTAGTAGTAGTAGTAGTAGTAGTAGTAGTAGTAGTAGTAGTAGTAGTAGTAGTAGTAGTAGTAGTAGTAGTAGTAGTAGTAGTAGTAGTAGTAGTAGTAGTAGTAGTAGTAGTAGTAGTAGTAGTAGTAGTAGTAGTATAGTAGAGGAGTAGCAGTAGTAGTATTAGTAGTACTAAAATGAGAAATATATGGCTTACTTACGGTGAGCAACGCAAGGAAGGAGATGGCAACAAGGTCGTGGTCGAATGGCGGCGGTATGGTGGCAGCGAGGAGGTGCTCGTGAGGAGCTCAACACCATAAATGAAAGCTAAAAGGAGGTGAGTGTGGAGGAGGAAGGAGAAAGGAGAAGGAAAGTAAGAGAGAAGTAGGAGATGTGATGAAAATAGCTCATGTTCCATGGCTATTTATAGGGAAGTTTGGTACTACTTCAAGGTCTTCAACCATGGCATTCAATGAAGGAGGCAAGTGGGCAAGTGGATGGGTTTTCCCCCTTTATTTGCCGACATGCTCAAATTTATTTATTTATTTAGTTTTATATATTATATATATATATATATATATATATATATATATATATATATATATATATATATATTGAAGTAGAATGCTAGGCAAATTGATGTATTGTTTTTGTGTAGTACTAGTGTACTACACATATGAATTGAACTTGTATATAAAAAGCGAATTTGGTACTTTGTTGTCTAAATCGGGTATAAAGTATTAACGGTTGAAAATTTGGTTTATATATGACAAACTTTGACTTGACTCATATAATTAAAATCTTTATAAAATATAATTATAAAATTATCATATAAATATTTTGTATGATAAAATATTTTGAAAAATCCATATTTAATAGTTATTAAATGACTTTAAAATACGGGGTATTACAAGTACAAATATCATTGAGGGCTCCGGAAGAGCCACTATAAAATTGCCTTGGGGAACTGAAATTAAAATAATTGATGCTTTATACTCCCCATTGTCTCACAGAAATTTATTAAGTTTTAAAGATATTCGCAACAATGGTTATCATATTGAGACAATCAATGAAGAAAATAACGAATTCCTTCAAATCAGAAATATAACTCAAGGCACAAAATATGTTTTGGAGAACTTCCTTACATTCTCCAGTGGTTTGTACTACACAAAAATCAATACTGCTATAGTAAACCAGAAGTTTACTGATAATTTTGTTGTTTGGCATGACCGGTTAGGCCACCCTAGTTCAATAATGATGCGAAAAGTAATAACGAATTCATGTGGACATTCTTTAAAGAGCCAGCATATTCTTCATAATAATTTTTCATGTGCTGCTTGCTCAGAAAGCAAGTTAATAATTCGTCCATCACCAGCTAAAATTAATTTTAAAAATTAGTTTTCTGGAACGTATACAAGGAGATATTTGTGGGCCCATACATCCCCCATGTGGACCATTTAGATATATTATGGTTTTAATTGATGCATCAACTAGATGGTCACATGTGTCTTTGTTATCAACTCGTAATCTGGCGTTTACGAGATTACTTGCCTAATTGATTAAGTTACGGGCACATTTTCCATATACTCCCATTAAGACTATTCGGCTTGATAATGCTGGTGAATTTACATCTCAAGCTTTCAATGATTATTGCATGTCCATTGGGATAAAGTTGAACATCCTGTAGCTTATGTTCATACACAAAACGGTCTAGCAGAGTCATTTTAAACGTATTTAGTTAATTGCTAGACCATTTCTTATGAAATCCAATCTCCCAATTTCTGCTTGGGGACATGCTATATTACATATGGTAGCTCTAATTCGCATTAGTCCAACAAGTTATCACAAGTTATCCCCCTTACAATTGGTTTATGGTCAAGAACTAAATATTTCCCATCTAAGAATTTTTGGATGTGCGGTTTATGTTCCAATAGCTCCCACAACCCCTAAAGATGGGTCCTCAAAGGAGGTTGGGAATATATGTTGGGTTTGAATCCCCGTCAATAATTGAATACCTTGAGCCTACAGGGGATTTTTACGGCTCGTTTTGCAAATTGTCATTTTAACGAGTCATTTTTCCCAACATTAGGGGGAAAAAAGAGAGTTGGAAAAGGAAATTAAATGGAATGAATTATCATTATCATATCTTGATCCTCGAACTAAACAATGTGAACTAGAAGTTCAAAAGATAATTCATTTACAAAGTTTAGCGAATCAATTGCTTGACTCGTTTGCTGACCCAAAAAGAGTGACCAAGTCACATATTCCAGCTGTAAATGCTCCATTTACAGTAGATGTCCCGGAAGGACAAAATAAATTTGCTAATGAGTCTAAACCACGTCAGAAACGTGGAAGACCAATAGGTTCCAAAGATAAGAATCCTCGGAAAAGAAAAGGAGCATTGATTGATGATGGTTAAATTGAAGAAACAATTTTCGAAGGATCTCCAAAAGAGAATTTAGACATGATACAGTAAGAAATTCAAGTACCTGATAATGAAGAAATTTCAACAAATTATATCATGTCTGGAATTACATGGAGCCGAAATCAAATCGACGTCGATGATGTTTTTGCATGTAATGTAGCATTAGATGTTATGGATAATAATGAGGATCATGAACCAAAATCCATTGAAGAATGTTGACAAATAAATGATTGGCCAAAATGGAAAGAAGCAATTGAAGCAAAATTAAAATCTCTTGGAAAAAGAGAAGTATTCGGACCTGTAGTCCGTATACCTGAAGGTGTAAAGCCAGTGGGATATAAATAGGTCTTTGTGCGAAAGAGAAATGAAAAGGGTGAAGTTGTAAGATATAAGGCACGCTTAGTTGCACAAGGATTCTCACTAAGACAAGGATACTCTCATGTGGTGGATGCAACTACTTTTAGATTTTTGATTAGTCTGGCAATAAGAGAAGGACTTGATTTACGTTTGATGGATGTAGTCATAGCTTATTTATATGGCCCACTGGATAATGACATATACTTGAACCTCCCAGAAGGATTCAAACTGCCAGAAGCAACAAAAATCTAGTTCTCGAGAACATTTATGTATTAAATTGAACAAATTTCTTTATGAATTGAAACAATCTGGCAGGGGCGGACCTATTAAGCCCTTATGGTGAGCAATTGCAGCCCATTTTGTAAAAAAAAAAAATCAGGTATATAAGCCCAAGCTAGTTAAAAAAAAAAAGGCCCAAAAAATTGAACCCCCATTCTAAATGTGTCTGGCACATTACAAACAAGTAGTGGGCTCCTTATTTCTCCAATTAGTGGGCTCTCTATTTCTCAATTCTCCTAAATGTTTCACGTGATTGGGGTACATAAAAATCAATTTTTTTTTTTAATTTTTTTTAAAAGTTCTTGTACAGTCACTGAGTCACTCACCCTTTTCAACCCTTACCCAACTTTCTCTCTCTAACTCAAATGCCTCAAATAGCTCAAATGCCCAGATCTACATAGTACTACTACCAAACTACCACCTAACCCAACCTCACAGCTAGTTTTTTCCGACCTGAGTTCGCTAGATTGCTGCCGCCTGCCGGAAAAGTTCGTCGCCGTTGACCGCTTCCGAGTTCCGACTTCTCCAAGCAGCAAATTGTCCACATTTGAATTAATATACAAGAATACAAGGTATTAAGGTTAATTAATTTTTCCTTATTGTACAAATTTATGTACTTCTTGCCTTTACTTTGAAATATTTAATCAAGATTCAAGAATTAATTTGTACTTTGTAGAATTAATTTGTGTATTTGATTGATTTAGATTGTACATTATAAATTTCAACTTTAGAGTACTAATTAGACTATTAAAGTGACTGTGTGTAAGTGATTAACTTAGGTAATTGATTAAATTTATATGAAATTGAATGATTGTCTTATTTTAAATTCTAATACTGTGCAATTGCCAATTGTGCAAATGTGACTAATTTTTTTTATTAGTTTGTTTATGACTATTTATTTAGAGTATTCTATTTTTCTATCAGTGAAAGATGGTTGATGATAGGAGTAGTCCTCCCCGTAAGAAAAAAAATTGGTTTATTCAAAAATCCAAAAGAAGTGAAGCAAGTTCTTCATCACCAACTCAACCTCCAATAACTCAAACAGAGCAAGAGTGTTCATCCCCATCTAATAACACACCGGAAACTCAGGAAACTGGAACGGGATCAATACCTACTACCAATGGGAGTACAACATTTGCATCAAGGGAGAGACAAAGTGAGCTTTGATGTTACTTCATTGCCACATGATCCAGATAAAAGGAGAAAAAATTGTGGAGTATCATCCGATGGACCAAGATGCAGTGAGGAGAGTATATATACAGAGAGGTCCTTGTCAGCCACTTACTCACAAATTTCCTCAATCAAACTTCGGAGGAGGTACATTACGTCGCTTTAATCGTTCTTGGTTAAGAAATATACTTGGCTTGAGTATAGTCAAAAGATGCTACATTTTGCCTTGTGTGCTATTTGTTTAAGAATGAAACTTCTAAAGCTGCAGGGGGGGGGGGGATGCATTTGTTGTTAATGGATTTAGGAAGTTGGAATAGGCCAGTTAGATTTAGGAAACATATTGGTGGGGTTAATAGTGCTCATAATCAAGATTTACAAAAGTTTGAAGATATAAAAAATCCAAAAACATCCATCCAAAACTTCCTTGACTCAAGCTTCAGATCAAGCAAAAACATGATTATAGAGTCCGTTTGACTGCTTCACTTCAATGTTTGAGATTTCTTTTGCGCCAAAGGATTGGCATTTCGTGGCCATGATGAAAGTGAAGATTCAAATAATAAAGGAAATTTTCTTGAACTTTTACAATGGTTTTGCCGAAAAAAATGAAGATGTAGGAAATGTAGTCTTAAAAAATGCTCCAGGGAATAATCAAATGACTACTCCTTCAATTCAAAAAGATCTTATCAATTCTTGTGCTAAAGAAACTACTAAAGCAATTGTGAATGATATTGGTGACGATTATTTTGGCATTTTTAGTCGATGAGTCTAGTGATGCATCTCAAAAGGAACAAATGGCTTTGTGTGTGCGTTATGTTGATAAGAAAGGAATGATAATGGAACGGTTTCTTGGGATTGTTCATGTTCGGGACACCACTGCCTTGTCTCTTAAAGAAGCTATCCTTTCTTTGCTTAATGAACATTCTTTGAGTTTGTCTAGAGTTCGGGGGCAAGGATATGATGGGGCTAGTAATATGAAGGGTGAAATTAATGGGCTCAAAACTTTAATCAAGAATGAAACATCTTCTGCATATTACATTCATTGTTTTGCTCACCAACTTCAATTGACTCTTGTTGCCGTTTCTAAGAAAAGAAAAGATTGCGGTTGGCTTTTTGACACACTTTGTGATTTGTTAAATGTTGTTGGAGTATCTTGTAAGAGAAAAGATGTTCTTAGGGGAAAACAAGCTGAAAAAGTTACTAAAGCTATTGAAAATGGTGAACGTGAAAGTGGAAAAAGTAAGAAATCAAGAACTTGCCTTAGCTAGGCGATGTGACACACGTTGGGGATCTTGTTATAAATTGATGGTAAATGTGATTGCTTTGTATCCTGCAATTCGTGAGGTGCTTGATTTAATTGGGGATGATGCTAGAAATTGTGATGATGCTCGAAAAGCGGATAATGTGAGTTTTGCAATTGAGTCATTTGATTTTATTTTTCATGATCCACTTGATGAAAACAATATTTGGGATTGTAAATGAATTAAATAAGGCTTTGCAAAAAGGAGATCAAGATATTGTTAATGCCATGTCACTTGTTTCTTTGACTAAAGAAAGATTGCAAGACATGAGAGAAAGTGGGTGGGATAATTTCCTTACCACAACCACTACATTCTGTGAGAAAAATGGCATTAGTGTTCTTGATATGAATGGTGTGTATACTCCTCCGGGAAGGAAAAAACGTGGTCGTTTGGATACTACTAATATGCATCATTTTCGAATTGAAGTTTTTTTTAGCGTAATTGATCTTTAACTACAAGAGCTTAATAATCGATTTGATGAGGTTAGTATGGAATTACTTGTTTGCATGGCTTCTTTGAGTCCCGTTGATGTTTTCTCTTCCTTTGATAAACAAAAGATACTAAAACTTGCCGAGTATTATGAAGATGAGTTCTCAAGTGCTGATTTGTTAAGCCTTGATGATCAACTAGGGAACTATATTACTGATATGAGAAGAGATGATAGATTTTGGGGATTAAATGATCTTAGTGAACTCTCCATGAAGTAAGTTGAAACAAAAAAGTGTCAAGTGTTCCAACAGGTTTATTTGCTCATAAAGTTGGTGATGATTCTTCTCGTGGCAACCGCAAGTGTGGAAAGAGCATTTTCATCAATGAATTATGTGAAGAATAAGTTACGAAATAGCATGGGTGATAAATTTTTAAAACGATTGTTTGGTTACTTTCATAGAGAGAAACATCTTCCTTGAAATTAGTGATAACGATATTATTAAGCGATTTCAAAGAAATGAAAATTCGACGAGAACAATTGTAATTTATTTTTTTTTAACTTTGTTTCCCCCTTATGAATGTATTTGGTTTGTATTATTGAAAACAATTTGTAATTTTCGGTGATGTATCTTGACATTTCTTTACTTTGTTGTTCGTACATTGGTATGATTAAGTTGAAAGTTTATTTTGGACCCCCATTTATAAATTCTTGGATCCGCCACTGCAATCTGGGCGTATGTGGTATAACCGTCTAATTGAGTATTTGTTGAAAGAAGGTTATAAGAATGATCCTATCAGCCCATGTATTTTTATAAAGAAATTTGGCTTAGGTTTTTTTATAATTGCGGTGTATGTTGATGATTTGAATATCATTGGAACCCCTTAAGAGATTTAGGTGACTGTCAATTATTTAAAGAAAGAGTTTGAAATGAAAGATCTAGGAAAGACAAAATTATGCTTGGGGTTACAAATCGAGCACCTAGAGAATGAAATCCTTGTGCATCAATCAACATACATAGAAAAGATTCTTAAAAGATTTTTTATGGATACAACACATCCATTGAGCAGCCCTATGGTTGTAAGATCACTTGAAGTAGAGAAAGATCTATTCCGACCTCGGGAAAATGATGAAGAAATTCTTGGTCCTGAAGTATCATATCTTAGTGCAATTGGAGCACTAATGTACCTTGCAAGTCATACACGACCCGACGTATTATTTTCAGTTATTTTATTAGCAAGGTTTAGTTCATGTCAAACCCGAAGACATTGGAATAGGTTTAAACATTTACTTCGTTACCTTCAAGGTACGAAGGATATGGGTTTATTTTTTCCCAAAGTTGTTCAAAGAAAATTTGATTGGTTTTCAGATGCAGGTTATTTATCTGATCCTCATAATGGTCGGTCACAAACTGGATATGTGTTCACATATGGTGGTATCGCCATTTCTTGGCGTTCCATGAAACAAACCATTGCACCTACTTCTTTCAATCATTATGAGATTTTAGCAATTCACGAGGCTAGTCGTGAATGTGTATGGTTAAGGTCGGTAGTTCAACATATAAAAGAAGTTTTTTGTTTATTATATGAGGATAAGACATCTTCTATTGCTCAACTTAAGAAAGGATACATCAAAGGCGACAGAACAAAGCACATCTAACCCAAATTTTTCTTCACTCATGATCTTCAGAAGAATGGAGATATAAATGTATTGCAGATTCGTTCAAGTGAGAATTTAGCAGACTTATTCATTAAGGCTCTTCCGACAGCAACATTTAAAAAGTTAGTTTATCGTATTAGATTGCGTCGTCTCAAAGATCTTTAGTGATATAATAATGAGGGGGAGTAATTGCACGCTGCACTCTTTTTCCCTTATCCATGGTTTTTTTCACACAGGGTTTTTCATGGAAAGGTTTTTAATGAGGTAGCATATATGTGCATTAAATCTATTTTAGATAATGTCCATCCAAGGGGGAGTGTTATAAAATATGTTAATTATGGATGGCCATTATAGCTTGTAAATATCTCTTTTATGACTACCTTAAGTATGGTAGTAATAACATCCTGGTAACCCTCCATATGTCATTAGGTCTCATTAACCCTCTCATGAATGGACTCTTCATTGTCCATATAAGTTATAATGTTCTATCATGTATATATATATATAGGTGACTCATGAAATGGATGAATATAGACAACACAATTACCTCTTTACATCTCTCTCTCTTATTCTCCCTTTCCCCTTATTTTATACTCCCTCCATTTTTAAATACTTGCTCCATTTCTCCATGCGCGGAGTTTTAGGAGAAATTAGATAAAGTTATAAAATATGGAGGTAGTGGGGTTGGTGGAAGAATAAAGAATTGTAAAAAACAAAAGTAGTGGAGAAATTGGAGGAGAGAGAAGATGAAATTAATAAAATATGATATTTGTTGGGCCACTAGGTGAGAGAAATGAGTTCAATATTGTAAAAGTTTTCCAAATAAGGAAATGTAGTAAGTATTTAAAAAACGGCCGAAAAAGGAAAGTGGAGCAAGTAATTAAAAACGGATGGAGTAATACAGAAGGAGTAGTATCCAAGATTCCAAGAGAGAGTATTTAAAAAACCGAGACAGTATCCAATTAAATTAATAAAATTGTTGCATTCCCAAGAATACTTGTGATATATAGCCATGATAGGAGCGAGAAAGCGGAGGCTACTATGTGAGTGAGCAAGAAAGGAAAAAAAAAATGTTAAACTCCTTTCATCTTCCTCTTTACTTTATCTTATTTTTAATTTGGGCGGCAAAATTAATTATTGTTGGTGCTAAATTGTATAACCGTTACGATTTCCTAACTGATTTTATCTTTGGTTCTGGTACCTCTTCTTATCAGGTTACTTTATTTTTTCATTTTGTTATGAGCAAATTAAATTTATTTTAGTGAATTAATTAGCTTTAATTTTGTGGGTTATTTTAAATTTTAAATTTTGAATAATTAATTTTATATATTGATACTATAAAGGTTGAGGGAGCAGCATTTGAAGATGGAAGGAAAGCTAGCGTCTTTGATACCTTTGCTCATTCTTGTATTTTTCTTTAACCTTTACTTACTTATTATCTTAGCAATTAACTTTACAATTACTTCATATACATGCATGTTTGTGGCTTGTCATTAATTATTATAGAGTGAGCACAAATTTACCAACAACTTAGCCCTGTTCTGTTGCGCTAAGCCCTCTTTGTTCTCTGTTGACACTTGTTCTACATTACTTGAGAAGCTCAAAAGAACAAGACGCTATACAAAAAGATCTTGCTATAGAGAGTTCGGGGCGTTCAAAAACCCATTATCGAAGTAATAATACCTAAAATATTAATTTTAAGTTTAAATGTATGTCAAAATCGCATGTCAATTTATAGAATTAATATTTATTTTACTTTAATATTTCCAATGTTACCAAACTCTTAAGGGACCGTTGTTAGCTTTTGCCAAATAAAAAATGCAAATCAAGTGTCAATTTTGTAAACGAAACTAGTGAGCATGACATTTCTGTACTCCCTCCGTCCCTAAATTACATTCCTCTTTCTCTCTATTATGTGAGGAATAAATGCTAGAAAAAGGAATGTAATTTAGGGGCGGAGGGAGTAGTAAAAATAGCAAGTGTATATGTTGGCCAAAATTAATTTTGGTAGTCAAACTACAAATTGAATTAAGATTTGGCGAGAGTCATGGCCTAAAATGAGAACAAAAAATCAACCTATTAAGGGCATGTTCATATTTACCGAGCTAAATATTTTATGAGAGAAGAAAATTAAGAGCTAAACTGAACTGAATTTTATGAGAGAAGGAAATTAGGGGCTGAGGTGAACTGAATTGAAATTAAGCTGAAGTGAACATGCCCTAATTAAATCACCCTTGGATCACCAAAATTGGAAGATAAATATGCTTATGGTGTCATTAATAACATTTTCGTAATATTGCATCTTTACAATCTAGTTCCAGTTCCATTACTTTTTACTCAATTTCATTGTTTTTGATTTTACGTTCATTGAAATTTGTTGTCAAGGCAGTTAATTGTTGACTAGTGAGTTTTCTTCATTACATGCTGAAACTATAGTGTAAAAGATTAACAGAGTTTATAATTTGGTATTTACTCTAGAAAGAATCTAAGATAGATAGCTCTCATAAGTAAATTTAAGCCTATAAAAGCACAAGAATAAGAAATTTAATTATAAACGTACGCTTAGGGCCTGTTCTCATACGTTGAAATTCAGTTCAACTCAGCTCCTAATTTTCTTCTCTTATAAAATAATTCATTTCAGCTCGGCTCAGTTCACTCAATGAGAATATGCCCTTATTTGAATTGAAAATTATTTTTTCCAACATCGCAAGCAATAATTTATTACTTAACTAGAATAAGAAAATTTCAGGGAAACATTTGCAAGGCACTGGAGATGTTACATCTGATGCATATCACAATTACAAGGTGTCAAAAGTTCTACTCCATATTACATGTCTTCTGTGTTATTAATTACTACGGAGTATAATATCATTGTCACACTAATTTTAAGTGTCTGCATTATAATTGACAAACTTTTTGTGTTGGATGATTGATCTTTCTATTCAGAAAGATGCCGAACTCATGGCAGAAACAGGATTAGAGGCATATAGATTCTCTATCTCATGGTCAAGGCTAATACCGGGTAAAAAAGTCAAATCCTTAAGGTGTTAATGATGAATTAAATCAATCTACTAATTTGAAGTTGATTTCTTGATATTATCATATTACTTTCAGATGGCAGAGGACGTGTTAATCCCAAGGGTTTGGAATACTACAACAATCTAATCAATGAGCTCATCAATCACGGTAAAATCTTATATATTTAAGTTCATATTAATATAGAGCATTACATTGGTTGTTGTATGTATCTTTAACTTGAATTGGATAGCATAGTTATGGTTTCTATTCATTCTGCAGGGATCCAACCACATGTTACATTAATGCACTTAGATACACCACAGGCGTTGGAGGATGAATATGGAGGATTTATCAATGTGAGGATTATGTATGTGTTTCTTTAATTACCTCGGTTACAAACTGTTTTCTTTTAGTAAAAATGTGTTCACTTCATGTTTAAAGATGCTACACCTTTTCCTCCATGTAGCCAATGAATGCTACCTGGATGATCGACGTTTATTACTATAGGAAGGGTAGTGGTTGGCATGAGTTTCTGATATTGAAATGTTGAAACAGAGAAGATTTCACTGCATATGCTGATCTTTGCTTTAGAGAATTCGGGGACAGAGTTCTTTATTGGACAACTATCAATGAGGCCAATATATTTGTTTTAGGGGGTTATGATATTGGTAATTCACCTCCTGGTAGATGCTCTAACCCTTTCGGAGTTAATTGCACGAAAGGAGACTCAACAACTGAGCCATATCTTGCTGCTCATAACATGTTGCTTGCTCATGCATCAGCTGCTTCACTTTACAAGGAGAAGTATCAGGTTTGACTAAAAGAAACATTTATTTCATAATCTAGACATACATGGTTTTTTCTTGATCATTTTCGCTTCCTTTATGCTATATTATTAGGCACATTTTCATTGTGCTTTGATTTGTAAGTCAAAACAATCACATTGTTTATTTATGCAGGCTAAACAACTCGGCCAAATAGGGTTCAGTCTCTATACCTACCATCATATTCCTTCAACAGATTCGACTGAAGATGTGATTGCAACACAGAGAGCTCGTGAATTTTCTATTGGCTGGTAATTTCATATGTAGCTGATGTTAAATGCCATGGAGCTTAATACTTTGTGTTTAGACTCAAATTAAACGGGGCGTGTTAAGTGATGTATGTTTCATTGCCAGGTTCATGCATCCCTTAATGTATGGAGATTACCCGAGAATAATGAAGGAAAATGCTGGCTTCCGGATTCCTGTTTTCACCAAAAAACAATCGGATTTGGTGAAAGGATCATTCGACTTTATTGCAGTAAATTACTACACTGCTATGTTGATCTCACACACAAACCTTACCCCGGAGCCAAGGGATTATCTAGCTGACACGGCAATAAAAAGTGTCTGTATGTCTTATAAGACCGACTAATTTCATTTCATCAGTTATACATAGTGATCTTACTGAATAAAATGTCACAACACAGAGATTGTTGGACTGATGAATAGGCTGAAATTCCTATATTACATATCGAATTATATGTATAAGCTGATCTTAATTTCATCTTTTGCAGATTATAATTATACAAGTGATTCACCAACTGAAGTGGTAGGGAACTATATTTACCCAGTTGTGTTATGATTTCGCTATTTTCATTGATCGTATAATACATTTTACCTTTTTCTCCCAGACTACGTTCCCAAATATACCATGGGCTCTGCAAGGACTTTTGGAATATTTCAAAGATGTTTACAATAATCCTAAGATTTATATATATGAATATGGTTCGATATTAGTTCTCTTTCTACAAAAATTAAAGACATTCATACAAATTACTTGATCATATGTTCATAACTATATTTATTAACTGAGTTTTGTTATGAAATTTCCTGCAGGTCAAGTGACAGAGCATCGTACCACAGTATATGATTTATCGAGAGTAGAGTATTTGCAAGCTCATATTGGAGGTGTGCTCGACGCTGTGAGGTAAGATTTATATACTAGGCATCAATTTTCTGAATCAAAATGTGAAAATGAAGGCGAAGGAAGTAGAGTAATGAATGCAGATGACAGTTCTGCTAAACCTCAGTAATCAATCTGTCTATAACTGAGCATAATCAACTATGATTACTGATTTACTACATATACCTATTAAAATAGGCGAGCTTCCACACTAAAACCAATTAACAGTAGTAGGAGTAGCTCCTTTACCTTATCAAGTGGAACCACCTCTCCTCTTTCTCCAATGTGGGACACTCACAAGTAGACTACAATGGGTTTCAACAATTATATCGATCAATGCATCAGTCTGTCGAAATCCACATACAACTTTCTGATTTCTTGGTGTTCCTCAATTTGTTTGCAGAAATGGATCGAATACAAAAGGGTACTTTGTTTGGTCATTTGTGGATCTATTCGAGGTGTTATACGGCTACAAATACAGCTTTGGTCTGTACTATGTTGATTTTCATGATCCAAAACGGACCAGGTATGCTAAGCTGTCTCAGAGATGGTACTCAGCATTCTTAAACGGGAAAAATGTATCTGTAAATGATGAAGGCAACCAACCACGAAAAAGGTCGACCATCTTTAGGACTACTCCGGAATTGGATGATGGGTTTTGGAGTTAAGGTCTCTATACTTTGGACTACTTAAGTTTCCTTTGTATTTTTAATTTCAATCACCCTTAGTAGAGAACTAGCTCGTGGTGAACTATGAGAGGGCGAATTGGTAATTCTGTTTAATTGAGCAACCTCCATTCCATTCTCTCCTCTCTAGCTCACTAGAGAACTAACTCGATCGATTACATTTAGCCTTATTCCACATGTAATAAGTTTATCCTGCTCTCTTATTCTTTACCTCTATTGAGCATAGCCTTGCATTAATATCCACGGAGTTGATCGAGTCTCCAGATTAGAATAAAAGCTTTCAAGTGCATTATATTGTACCATGTCACGTAACATGTACATACATACATTTTGTGCATTATATGAGAATACTTAGCACCTTAGTGTTTACCTTTGCCCTCCTCTTTACCCGATGGGGAGGGTGAGCCTCTAGCTAAACAGGCAAACATCCACGCACCCAATAATTTACAATGCGTGGTTCCTACACTCAGTGTACCATCTGAATTTTGAATTTCAAATTTTAAAATTTTAATTTCATTTTCAAAATGTTATTATCCAAAATACTATATTTAGTTTCCTTTCTTTAATATATATATATATATATATATATATATATATATATATATATATCATATTTTTCACCAATCTTTCAAAAAAAATTTAATTATAATATTTATTTTAATGATTGTTCTGTGTACTTTTAGGCTCTTTATATGACTATATAATGCTCTTTATATAAAAAATAATTTTTATTCTCTAAAATTATTTCACCTAAAAATAACTTAAGATTTCGTTTTTAAATTTCAAATATTAAATTTATAAAATTTCGTTTTCAAAATTTTAGTTTTCAATAATTTAGGATTTTTTTACTTTTACCACAAAAAAAAAAGAGCGAAATTGTTTTTTACTACCAAAATTTTGAAAGTTTTATTTTACCACAAAAAAAAAAAATTAAAAATTGTTTTTTACCAACTGCCGTTAAAAACCTAACGGAATATTTTAAAATTTTCGTTTTTTGTGCCAAACACATCATATTTAGGGGTTTTGGGGGGCATTTTGGTAGGAATCGACAAAAAATGATCGAAAATGCTTCTTTTTGTGCGTTTAAAAATACCTCGGTTTGCGTGAAACACGCAAAACGAGGCATTTTCGATCATTTTTTTGTCAATTCTAACTTCAAATTGAACCCGTAGGGCCAAAATGCCCCCCTAAACCTATGAACAGTATGTTTTGCGCACGAAAATCAAAGAGTTTTTCTTTAAACCGTTAAATTTAACGGTTTTCTTGACGGTAGGTGGTAAAAAACAATTTTTAGAAATTTTGTTGGTGGTAAAATACAACTTTTAAAATTTTTTGTAGTAAAAAACAATTTCATGATTTTTTTGGTGGTAAAAGTCAAAAAATCCTTTTTTTAAAAATTTTTATATTTCGTTCATATTTTTCACCTTTACTATATATAGTTACAATTTTCATTTTAGGGATGGTATATATAAATTTTTTGTGATGTTCTATATGTGATTTAATAATGTTCTCTATTAGAAAACATGATGTACTTTATAGTTGTTTGTAATGTACAATTAATTTTTAAAACTATATCTTTTTCCATATGTCCATAATTATATCATATAATGATTTTTATTAGATTTTTTGACAGTTTATTTTAATTGTCCTTGTCCATGTTTTTTTTATTGTAATTACAATGTACTTTTATCGTCACATAATGTTCATTGCTTATTGTAAAATGTTCTTTGAATTTTGTCTTTGGATCATGGTAGGCATATATATAAGTTATGTTCATTGCATAATATTATCATGTTCTTTAATAATATTACGGATATTCTTTAGATCTGAAAAACAATCATCAATAGAGGAGATCTCAAAAGAATATCGTCATCAACCTTCACGATCCTGATTTTTAAAATATATATACGTAGTTAGTGATTATTAATATTAAAAAATATATGTATAGAATTAATAAGTGATATATTATTTAAAAATACAAAATAAATCAAAGAACATCAAAGCAAAAAACATAAAGGATAAAAATAAAGAACATTCATATAATTGTTCAATAACTATAATGACGAACATATGTACAATTTATAAAGAACACCATCGATCAACATTTGACAAAATATAAAAAACACCATCTTCAACCTTTGACAAAATAAAAGAACATCATATTCAACCTTTGTCATATGGATCTCAAATTCATAAATATCAAAATTAAAAAAAAAAAAACAGCGATATTTTACAATAATTGTGCAAAATAATAACGAAATATAATCAACCTAATAAGTAAAATCCTGAAATTAAAATATTAACAAATAAAATCAAATTACCTTCTCCGATCCATCGATTACAATGTTATCTAATTTACTCTGTATTTTTCTCTCTGCAAAATTCTTTATAAACTTTATTGTCTCTTAATTCGAAATTAAAATATGGTGAAATTTAATTTTGAAAGTTATGCAAAAATGGAGAATATCATGTTGAATCCCATGAATTGTGGAAGACATTGATTTTTTTTTTTTTAAATAACAAACTGATAGCTTGCAATTGAAATGTTAAAAACACATCATTTAACACTAGGTGTACCATGAGCATGGTACACCCTGGTGTACTATATAATTTTCAATAATCTGGATCTTTTACCAAAATGTCTAATTTGACAAAAATATTTATCAAAACGGCTAATTCTAAAATTTAATTCCCAAACTAGCTAAATTTATTGATTTGAAAGGATATTATTATTTTTTATATTCCTTTGAACCGATTCCGTTCACTTTATGTTTTAATTTGTTTTATTTAAAAAGAATTAATTTTATTTTATTTAAATTTAGGTTTTACTTAAATTCTAATGTCATAGTTTAAAACAACTCATTAATTTGAACAATAACAATCAACCTAATATACATGTTGCAATTCTCAATTTTTAAAAAAGTTACAAAAAAATAAACAACCACTTAAAATATCCATATTAGCCGACATTAACAAAGTGTATACAATTAATAGACATGAAAAAGATGAACAATACTTTAAAATCCCTTATCGTCGTATAAATTTGCAGTAGTCTTGATAGAACAGTACTACTTGAAATTCCAAATTTTTGTGATTGATATGATCAAGATGAAAAATTAGGGCTTTTATTTATTTTTATTTTTTTTTATTGAAATTAGGGTTCTGCGAGTCTGCAACGGTTTACGTTCTTCATAGTTTTGTATACTAGAGTGTACCCGTGCAAAATGCTATTATGGGTTTTACTTTTCCAAAGTTATAAAGGTTACCCATTCAGTGTTATAGGGGTTACTCGTGTTACTCAGTTAGTGTCATATGGGTTAGCGTCTTGCTGTAGGAGTTACATACTTTGTTCTGTTGCAAGTAGTTATTCGCTGAGGCCAGTTGCACAAAAACGTGCTGTACATTTTCCTTTTGGTTTTGATGATTAAAGAAATGGAAAATGTTTGGAGGGTAGTCCCTAAAAAAATGCATATAATTGAAGGGTTGGGGATTTAGAGTACCGTAATTGAAGGGTCGGGGATTTAGAGTACATGTTTTTTTATATGTTATACTACGTACAAAAAAAAACACACACACACACATAAAGTGACATGTTAGTAGTAGTCCCATAAAAAATAAAAAAAACAAAAAACAAAAAACAAAAAGAAAAACAAAAAAGAAAGGGTGAATGAGTAGTTTTTGTTTTTTTTTTAAAAAAATGATAAAAAAAAATTAAAATAAAGTAGTGGGATTGGTAGTTATTTTTTCCTTTATTAAAAAAAAGAAAAAAAAAATCTCAAATGCATGAGAGTTGAGGATTGGGGATTTGGAGGGCTCTCGTTAAATGACTCTACAATTATAATATAGATTGCTTAAATTTTTCAACTTAAAAAAAATCTCTAAGGAAATAAAAATAAAACCAAAAAAAAAAAAAAGAAAGTGAACAAAACTGGTTCAATGGAAATAAGAAATATATAAATTCCTTCCAAGTTAATAAATTCAGGGATCTTTCATAAAAAAAGACTTATAAATTAGCTAGTTTGGGAATTAAATTTGATAATTAGCCGTTTTGGTAAATACTTTTGTCAAACTAGCCGTTTTGGTAAAAGATCCCAATAATTTTGAAGATTCAAATAAATTTATTCTTGATTCACACCCGCTTTAGAAATTTTGGCTGGTAAAGTTAGGGCGTGTTCGGCAAAATATAGCTGTGAAGGTAGTTGTAGCCGTGGAGTTAACTATTAGTTGTGTAGGTAACGGTTAGCTGTCAACAAGCTATTAGCTGTGAAGATAAATAATTTAGATATGAGTGTTCGGTAAAGTAGCGGTCGACTAGCTATTACATATATAAATCAGAATTTTATTTTTAAAACTATAAAAATAAATTTTCAACAGCTACCTAAAAAGTTACCTCTAGTTTTAAAAGCTAATCTTTCTTACTTTTCATAAAAGTTATCTCTACCACTAAAAGCTATACTAACCACTACTTTGTCAAACCCTCACCCTCTAATATCAAAACGCCAGTGTTTTTTTTTTTTTTCATTTGTTTCTGTTTTCTTTGTTCACTAAGATATAATTTTATTTTTATTAGTATTTAGAGAGCCACAAGGGCGAGTGATAAGAATCAATCCTAAAATCACCTAAAATCGGTAGAAAAGGAAGAGATTTAACCACTTAAACTATCCCTCACTCTCACAAAAATATAATTATTTGGCCTCCTATAGTCCTATTCATTACTCACCTTTCGAGTTTGGGCACACAGATTTGAAAGTAGTTGTGTTAATTGCGGACGGCATTTGTTACCAGGATATTGTGCATCTAAGGTTGATTATGTCTCCGTACCACTGTGCAACTAGTACAACAAATCTTTAACATCTCCCCAATTAAATACTTCCTCCGTTTTATTAATATTGAAACAAGGAGGAAATTACGCATTCCTATGCACATTTGATATGCTAAATATCTATAATTGTGTAAGGGTAAAAAATATAAAAAGTTGATATTGTGAAAGTATTTTATGAGACGAATCCAACAAGATCCCACATGACTATATTTTGCTTAACGTATAAATCATATTATATGGTCAAACAAGA